CCCCCCCCCCGGTGTAGATGCAACTATGTTGACAGAAGAATGCTTTTGTTGGCATAACTAATCTCATTCAGAGAGGAGGTGTAGCTATGCTGGCAGAATAGTGTAGCCAGCATATGCTATGTCTTCACTAGGAGGTTTTGCTGCTGTAACATATACGTGACCAGCAAAGACTTTGTAGAATAGAGAAGCCCTAAATCTCTAGCCATCACAGTTGTGAAGATGAGCTTGAAAATGTGACCTGAGTGTTACCAACAGAGCAATGGCTTCCCGAGTCTGCAGATAGACTGAAACAATAGCATTGAGAGATATGAACTACTCTGTGCACCTCATTGGAGTGTTAATTCCAATGTATAGGTCCCCTCCATCAACACCATCCTTGCAGGTCCACTGTGTGGCTGGAGGAAACAAGTGCAGTGAGCCCAACCTTTGGCATTGCTCTTCCTTCGGGGCTGCAGAAATGGCAATGAGTATAGGTCCCTATCTATGCTTCCTGGATGTGCTTTAACATTTTGATCTCAGGCATCATTTCACATTATGCGTTACAGTGATTTCCTCCTGGCCTTGCTTCCATATTGCCCATGAGGGTAATGTTTTTTAGGTCGGTCTGTTTGATAGCTTAACTCCATAATATTTTTGTTGTAGATAAAAAAGCCCATAGTAGCTCTTCCACCTTGAGTTAACTTGAAATTTGAATGTATTCAGGTTTTCAGAAATGAAGACTAATGATGTTGGTAAGATGTCAGTTTACCTTTGATTGATGACTTCAGGCTGGCTTGAAAACTATCAGGATAAGAGTAAGAGCCCTTTAATAATGGCTTCACTGATTTGTGGAGACAGTAACAATTTACATGAAGATATAAGCTAGCTGCAGAGTGACTGGAACAGTGCCAGTATTCTTTGGATCCATCTGTGAGTTCGGTTGCTGAACTCTTTTACACGTGATCTTAAAAAAAAAATCTGCACAATAAACAGTGCCAAGGAATGGGGAACTGAAATATGCTATATTTTGGTACAATGTATTTTTGTAAAATACAGTAATTGAGTTGAAATATAAGGATCTCAAATGACATAACCACTAAAAAGAAAGATGCTTTGTTTAGGATATTTGAGCAGTGTTTCCCAACAGAGGAATTATTAATCAAGTATTTTGGATGCATTTTCACAAATATAGGAGATGCCTTTAAACTTCGCAAGTGCAGTGATTATAGACATGGGATATCTTTGCATGCAAATGCTGTAGCCTAATAACTGACACGTGGGGTTTGATTCTTCTCTCCCACCAGTTTTATGCTGATGTAACTCCACTAATCTCAATAATGTTGCTCTTGATTTACACCGTGTCAAGTATCAGGGGGTAGCCGTGTTAGTCTGTATCTACAAAAACAACAAGGAGTCTGGTGGCACCTTATCTGTTAGTCTTTAAGGTGCCACCAGACTCCTTGTGGTTTTTGATTTACACCATTGTAAGTCAGAGGAGACTCAAGCCCATGATTCCCCAAAATCTCTCCCATAACAAGAAAAAGGATATTAATGCATTCGTAAAGCAACACATGCCATCCAAACTGTGAGATACTTTCCCCCTCACATCTCCTATCTCCCAATCAGTGAAGTGTGGCTAAATAAGGTATTGAAAAACTACAGAGGAGCAGGGTGGAGACTTAAGAAAGCAGTTCAGGAGTTTGGAAATTCCTCTCCTAAGCAATTCCGGCATTAACATCAAGCAAAATCAGAGGTGCCCAGCCAAAATAAATCTGTACAATGATGATATCAGATGTGAGGCAACGGCATGTCATGTCGAGGGATATCAGATATTCTTGCACAAACCACAGCGTCTAGATATGATCCTGCACCATTAGGCTGCAGCCCTGCCAACAAAACAAACAAAAAAAGTTTGAAGCCATTATGATGTAAAACTCCCACAAACTGCTATACATGATTAGAGCTCAATTCAACAAGGTGCTGAGCCCCCTCAACTCACACACCTGGGGTGCAGAGCACCCTCGACTTCCACAAATCCGCAGAACCTCCCAGGAGTGTTGAAGGATCAGACCATTTTAGAACCTATTGAAATCAATGGGATTCTTTCTATTGAGTACACTTTGGCTCAGGCATCTATCCAGGATCCTGGCTGTTATCTCTGGTTTTCCTAAGTGTCTTATCTGAGCATGCTGCAAAAGGGTCCCAGCACCTGGACTGAGCAGGCATAGAAGAACATCCTCTTTAGATTTTACTTTGTCAATCCAGAGTAACTCCACTAACTTCCATGGAGTTACTCTTTTACTGGCATTACTCAGGGCAGAATTTTTGACCCATGCTTATGCATCCTCAGTCACATTTGCATCACCATGCCCAGGTAAGGCCTCCCTGACCCACCCGCTTTGCATTGTGGGATGCATACAGATCCATTTTGCATTTGTGCACAGAGTGATGCAGAAAGTCATGCACACTGCAGATCCCTGCTTTTGCATGTTTGGATACTGTGCATTGTGCTTAGCTGCTGTGCATCAAGGATTTGCACTCCCACCGCAAACTGCTGAATTCTGGCGCTTAATGAAGAAGGACCTGTATATGTCTTGTGTTAGTGATGCTGAACACTGAAGTGAAATTAACTTAGGGTTGCCAAATTTCTGATTGCAGAAAACTGAACACCCTTGCCCCGCCCTCTGCCCCACCCCTTCCCTGAGGCCCCACCCCTTCTCCAAGTCCCCATCTCACTCCATCTCCCCTCCCTCGCTCTCCCCCACCCTTGCTCACTTGCTCATTTTCACCGGGCTGGGGTAGAGGGTTGGGGTGCGGGAGGAGGTGAGGGCTCCAGTGCGGGTGTGGGCTCTGGTGTGGGGCTGAGGGGTTTGGGGTGCAGGAGGGGGCTCTGGGCTGGAGCCAAAGGGTTTAGAGTATGGGAGGGGGCTTCAGGCTGTAGCAGGGGGTTGGGGTGTGGGGGGGGGTGAGGGCTCCAGCTGGGGGTCCAGGCTCTGGTGTGGGGCCAGGGATGAGGGGTTTGGGGTGCAGGATGTGACTCCTGGCTGGGGCTGAAGGGTTCAGAATGCGGGAGGGGGGTGCGGGCTCTGGGAGGGAGTTTGGGTGTGGGAGGGGAATCAGGGCTGGGGCAGGGGGTTGGAGTGCAGGAGGTAGTGTGGGATGAGGGCTCCAGCCAGGCAACGCTTACCTCACGCAGCTCCTGGAAGTGACCAGCATGTCCCTCCAGCCCCTAGGCAGAGGCATGGCCAGGCAGCTCCATGCACTGCCCTGGCCTGCAGGTGCTGCCTCTGCCCACAGGCACCGCCCCTGCAGCTCCCATTGGCCGTGGTTCCTGGCCAATGGGAGCTGCAGAACTGGCGCTCAGGGCGGGGGCAGCGCGCAGAGCCTCCTGGGCCGCAGGGACATGCCGCTGCTGCTGGATGCCACATGGAGCCAGGGCAGGCAGGGAGCCTGCCTTAGCCCTGCTGCACTGCCAACCGGACTTTTAACAGCCTGGTCAGCGGTGCTGGCTGGAGCCACCAGGGTCCCTTTTCGACTGGCCATTCCAGTTGTAAACCAGACTCCTGGCAACCCTAAATTAACTTAGTCCCACACATCAAGGAGGATGTTTTACGAGTTAGGCACCTGTAATAAATTCAGTGCAGTTCAGTTTAGAACATTACAGTTGAGAAGTGCTTAGATAATTAGACTTGTGGTGGATAACATGACATATTGTAGGAAAAGGTTAAGCATTAAACTCAGCTTTTTAATAGCCTGATTCAGCATTGTGAGTGGCTCGTTAATTTTATTTCTAAATGTGTTCACATGGGTACTGAATTGTGGTAACTTCATAAAGTTATTTATATTTTAAAAAGCTATTCTTTTATGGACATTTATATGGACAAAGTCCAGTCAGGAGGATGTAAGTGCCAAATTCAAATGTGAGCATTGAGGGGCCACTTTGACCATAGAAGGAGCTGATTGGCTGGCTAGGTTCTGGCATTTATATGAATTCCTATTTTCAGATACTTATTTTTATCCTTCATACAATTCTTCCAGCAGTGACACAGCAGGAATACAAAAGAAAATTATTATATGTAGTGTTCCAAATCTTTTTTCTGTTTTGTTTTTTATGACATATGCATTTTTAAGAAGAAATTAAAATAGGGTCAGAGAAATCCAAAAAGGGCGTGGTCTCCATTAATGGAGGGGAAAATATGTCTTTAGTTGCTGTATCTGTTTGGAAACCAGGATGAGACTTATCCCACATCTGCCTACTGTGGGGTTCTTACACCTTTCTCGGAAGCATCAGGTACTGGCCGATGTCAGAGACAGGATACTGAACTAAATGGACCTTGAATCTGATACAGTATTGACTGTTCCTATATTACAACTTTTCACGCACTCCTGGCTTGTTGTTCAACAGAGCAGATTGAATTCTCTCCCTCCCCTCCCCCACACCACCACAAATGACATCACTGAATGATCTTAAGTCCATCTCCTGCAATGACGTATGTGTGGACCAATTTTGTGAATGAAGCCCCATCAGAATCTGCCAGGGATGGAACTCTTTTCAGGGTCAGGTCCACAGTTTGTCTCTATTTGTTTGCTAGGCTCAGCGACAGGCTTACGATTAAACGAACAAGAGCAATGCCTCCTTGTGTTTGGTTTGGTTTGCTCCAAACCGCATGTAGTTGGTTTCCTTTGTGTATCTCTGTGTCTGTACTGCTTTTTTAACTGCATTGTTTAGATGGCAGGAATTTCTCCTGTTCAATTTCTGTATGAATGTGGTATTAATAAAAATGGACTGGTAGAAGCAGGTCTGATGTAGGAGGAGGAAGCTTTATTTTTTTTTCCATTAAGATAATCAATTCCCTCCCACTTCTATTAATTGTACATCCATTTTTGTTTAATTTGTGCTGAATTGCCTGGGTTGAACTACTGAATTTGCCCACTTTCTGAGGTAATATTATGTGATCTTCTCTAATACAGAATGTAATATGCCCTGACTCCGGAAATAACTTTACTCCTCTTTTCTGCAGCAATATGAAAACTGGCGACCTAACCAGCCAGACAGTTTCTTTTCTGCTGGAGAAGACTGTGTTGTTATAATTTGGCATGAGAATGGCCAATGGAATGATGTGCCATGCAATTACCACCTCACATATACCTGCAAGAAAGGAACAGGTGAGAAACCATCACCATGTGATAGTGACTAAAATAGGAATGATTCCCTGCATTCATACATCTGAGTGACCCTGCTTTATAAAGTAATGGGGACAAATTCTGCCTGAAGACTGGCATAATGGATCCTCAGATGGGCTTATGCTTACCAGCTTTAAACCAGCTTCTTTTTTTTCTAGCCCAGCAAGATTATATTTTGGGCAGATTGTATAGCTTTCCAACAACTCAGTAGCCTAAATTAACCAAAAATAAGTGGCTAGGCAGGGTCAGAAGGTGGAGTCACCCTTCTAACAGCAGAGAGTACTGTAGTACTCCTACTGCTGGACTGATTGAAGAGAAAACCAATGAGAGAGCTTGTTTGCTCTGAGAACTCTCTTTAGTTAACAGAATTATGGTCTGGACTGAGCATACAGTCAATGCCTGCTATTACCTGAGTTGGTGTTTCAGCTCCCGTCGAAGGCATTTTCTCACAGACTTTTATCCACGTGTTTTCCGAAGCAAGATTATTTTATCACGCTCTCTAAACCTGAACTATGTTTGGATTCATACAGCTCAGCTGTGTTGTGGCTTTGCTCCATTAGAATGGGTGGGAATATGAAACCTTGCTGTTACTAGAAGCTGTGCACTCAGCTGATCACCTGAAATTCTCAGCCTTTACAGACTGGTGCAGTCAAAACCCAAACCTTCCCCACTGCTGCCTAATGTAACATCCTTAGATTTACTGCATTTTGTTGATATATCATTGATGGATCCACAGGTCTCCAGTGTTTCACATATATTCTTGTTCAAAAGGAGAATTCCAGACTAAGTTTATGAATTAGCCCTTTTTGAAAAACCTTTTGATGTAGAGTTAATGGCCTTTGGAGTTCTGCAGAAATTGCTGTTTTATTCCCATTTTCTGTTGGCCATAAAACCACATAGTAAATTCAAAACAAAAAGGAAACTCCATCAATTTTGTCTGCAAGTTTCCATTTCCATTCTTGTAACATTAACATCTGCTCAGCCATGTCACAACAGGGCTGATCCTGCAGTTCTGATTCAGGCAAGACTCCTACGAAGTCAGTTGGTGCCTTCCTGAGTAACGACTGCAGGGTTAGACTCACTTTGGAATGACACCTATGAGCTTGGTTCTTTTTGGTCTTTAGTTGCCTGTGGTCAGCCTCCTGTTGTAGAAAATGCAAAGACTTTTGGGAAGATGAAGCCTCGCTATGAAATCAACTCCCTGATTAGATACCATTGCAAAGATGGTTTCATCCAGCGCCATATTCCAACTATCCGGTGTCAAGGGAATGGAAGATGGGATATGCCTAAAATCACCTGCATGAATCGTAAGTTGCTGACTATGAGAAACTATAGACCCAACATGGTCAAACTTTTTATTAAGGATCCATTTTGTTCTAGCAGCATTATTAATCTCAGGTGTTCAAAACCATGAATCAGGCCTCAAAAAATCATGATTAAAAAAAAGGGTGCAGGGAGGGTCTTTTATTTGTCTTCTGGTTTCTTGGCCTTTAGGATGTCCCTGGATCATGTCTTCAAGCTTTTCTCCACAACCATCAGGGCTAGAAATGTATTTTATTTAAAAACAAACCAAAGTGAAAGCTGAAATTCTCCCATACCCACTTAACTTCAGGAGCTGGGGCTTTAAAAATACATCAAATATCACGTAACTATGATAAATTCATAAAAGTTAGCATCACAGTCAGGGCGAATAGGTTCCTTATAACCGTGGCTCACAACCATCAATGATACTGTCTGTTGATATGCTTGCAATCACCTATAACACATATTACTTCTGTCTGTAACATGCTTATAATATCATTTATAAATCCCTTATAAACCATTAATAAACTTGATATAAAGTATGACTCATTATATTGTCCATCTATCAGCCAGTTTATTGTTCAGATCAAGGAATTCTTTTAATATTTTTCTTCTTTTCCCCCTTCTTTGCAGCATCCACATTCCAAAGGACTTATTCTAAGAAATATTACTATAAACATCCTTCCCCAGGAAAGGGAACTTTGTTAAATTCATCAAAACATTATCACCGCTGGATCAGGACGTGGCAGGATTCAAGGCGCTGAATGCTAAATGGTGAATGGGGATTTTCACCATTTCAGCCAAAGTCCTAACTTACTGTGCCTTTTCTATCACTTCTAGAAGTATTATCAAATTGTTTGGAACTATGGACTCCAGAATTCACAACACATTTTGCAAAAATGTTGGGGTTTATCAGCAAATTCAAAAATAAAAATATGAGGAACCATTTCCAGCCAATCAGAAATGTTAGTTTTCTATATGCCACCAGTGGGGACCATTTTATAACATATACCAGCCTACTGCAATATTTAAACAGCTCAATTTTAGCACCAATGAAAATGTAAATAAGATGATTTTATTATGTTTAATTGTGTGTTGTTTTTAAAATCCTGTATATAAAATGAAAAGTCACACTAAGTTCAGGCATATTTATGGTTATATGGCCTCAGAGGTCTGTAATCATTGATTTCCTTATTTGTCTGTTGTTCACCTAGGTTGGAGATGGTTTAAATATAATTGTATTGACTGAAAACTGCCAGATGAAGATAAACACACAAGTTACATGTAATTTTTTTTTTTGAAACTCTGCCATTTCCCATCAGAGGAACAGTTTTTGTCCATGTGATACAAAACATAAAGTGAGATCAAGCCTGAATTAGGGACTGCAATGTGGAACTTTTCCTGCTCTCCATTCCAGCTTCATCACTGGTGAGAAAGGACTGCATGGAGGACTTGTATATGGCAAAGGAGGCCTGTAAGAGTCAAAGTGCTAATACATTAACTCTCTCAACCAGGGTTACTTTCTGAAAATGACTTTCACAATACTAACCATAGGTCTATGTTACAGGTCTCTGCATTTTATAATGGAGGGAGACCTAGGGTTGGTTTTTTGGGGTGTTTTTTTTTAACAAACAAAAAAAAAAGTCAAAAAAGTAAATAATTTTGTATATATAACCATTTTTAATCTTTTTTATAAAGTAATGAATGTTTGTGTATGAATGCTGCAGCTGTGAAGCGTACATAAATAAATGAAGTAAGCCATACTGATTTAATTTATTGGATGTTATTTTACCAATGCAAAGAAAATTGAAAGAGCTTGGTAGTTCAGTGTTAGCCCCTGAGCTCCCCGATGCATTTGGAACCATATTTCAGTTCAGCTGCTATTTCCCTGATGTACTAAATTCCTAGCAAACAGGATCACTTGTTTGTGATGAAATGGGTGACTTGTAGAAGAATCAGCATGTTGGCTATCTAAAAAGAAATTCACAAAAAGATTATAGATCACAGTGAATGCAGTGTGCATGTAGGACTTCTTTATTTTGATTGTTTTATTTTACTTTGACCCATTCAGCTCATCATTGGCCTGGACGTGTATAGTAAGGTAGTATTTAAAATAAGCTCTCCACAGCAAGGACCATGTCAATTTGGTTGCTTCAGCAAAGCACACTTTGGGGCTGTGTAAAAAAAACAAACAAAAAAACCCCTCTGATACACCTTCTAAAATAATAATATAAAGACAGGTTGAGGTCTCTTATAATATTGATGTAGGCAAAAATTATGGAGAGAGAAGCAAGCAAAAGAAAAAAGTGAAAATCCAGCTAACATGTAGGAGTTTGTATCCTATTGAACTGTCCATAAAGTAAACCTTCTATGGCTTCTCAGCAAATACAGTAGCTACAATTGCAAATGGTGTCTTTAAGAAATTCCATTGACTGCTAAACCAAGTGGAACCTAACCTTTGAGTGTTCTTGACTGCAGTACCCCACTGCATTGACTTGTACATTTTTCCCCTCTACAGCACACATACTGCTTTTCTCTATTTATATTATAACTTGTATAGTGTATAATGTGAATGTCTGTTTTTTTGTGAATGAAAGTTAAAATCTTTGTAACTTTAATATCTGCTTCTGTTTCACCAAAGAAACAAGGTTTTGCTATACTGTGACTTGTCTTGTTATTGCATGTCTTCCACTTTAAATCTATGCAATGTGATATTTTACATATGAATAGGGTGATCATGTGCTAGGCTGTTTGTATTCACCGTTATTTCAAAGGTACTATGGGCCCAATCCAATGCCAACTGAAGTCAAAGGGAGTCTTTTGATTGAACTTTAATAGGGTTTGGATTAGGTTTTAGATAAGTAGCTGTACAGGATTTTTGGACTGTGTTTTAAAATATAGAACAAGATTATTACTTGTGTAAATCAAGGCTCTGTTCACAATATAGAGTATACTATACATCATTTCATTGTGCAAACACATACAGATCATAGAATAGGTTTTAGCACTCTGTCAATTTTCTTACAATATGTACAAATCTGTTGTATAAATCTGTTGTTTTACTTGTTTGCTTTTTGATTTAAATAATGTTGTAAGCCATTCAGATACCATGGTGATTGTAGTTTAAATAAGTTAGGTATAGCGCTTATGTTGACTCTTTCCATTTCTGCCTCTGTTGCTCATAATAAAATAGGACTGACAACTTTCCTTATTAAAAACAAACCCATGTTTCTTTATTTAGAAAATGAATTGAACTTTCTTCAACTCTGGAAACCTAATTTAATTCCTGATTTAAATCCCAAATGTAAAGTTAGTTAGATGGTCACATCCTAGGCCATAGGGCACATCTTGGCAGTTTTGTGATGTGGACAGCAGTTAGGTATGTATGCTTGTTAATCTTTCTGCTCAAGAGAAGCCAAGACTCTACTCAAGCCAGTAGTATTAGCCTTCACTTCCAGGAGCACTAAACGCAAACACACTCAAGGTTATTGAGGTCAAAGTTAGGAAAAGGGGATGGAGTCCGAGATTTGAATATAGATGTCAAAGTCAGCATTTCATGGCTCCTTCCTCTTGGCTAACAAATTAGTCCAGCACTGTTTATCTTTTTTTTTTAAACCTATCTATGTCAGATGAGAGTATTGCAAATAATTTTTTTTTCAAAAAATACCAAATTAATAGAAGAAATATTGCCACTAAATTTACTTTTGACCACAGGGTTAATTACTAAACTTTTCCTCTCTATTTGCCTGCTCTGTGCTATTCCACACAATAAAGAAGCTGATTACATCAGGTTGGATATGGAAGGGAGATGTTAATTGTAAAATTTGACAGTATGGAAGAGGTCAAAAATTTATTGCGTATTCCCGTCTTGTAGGCAGGCTCAACAAATGGTTGGGACAGACAGGGGTCTGGCCTGAAGCCTGTGCACAGAGCCCAAAATGCTACAAGGAAAGCAGGTCCAATACCATGGGTCTGTGAATATCTGTGCAGAGCAACTATTATTCTGTGCACCTCCCCACAATATCTGCAGTACATTGGCTCTTGTAAATGTGGCTGTAGGCATGTGCTTCATCTGATTGCATTTATATGCTCCAGAGGGCGAGTTGGGATGCTACTACTTACAGCAGGAGTAAACTTTGCTGCATATTGCAGTGAAAGTTGCAACATTTCAGCAAGAGAATATGCTACATGGATCTACTGTTCCTATATTCCTATCCAGGCTGTCCACAGGGACACACGCCCCTCCTTTCAACTATGAAACCACTCAAGCTTGATGACAGTGGGCACTTCCCTGAAATCAGAGCCAATAGAGGCAAATTGAACTGCACACCTGACTCTGTCTGTGGATGCCGGAGATGATGAAGTTGGAATTGGAATGTCAATGCAAATAGAATCTCCTCCAGTTTTGTACTTTCAGTGCACGTGTTAGGGATGGATGATCCATCTTGGATAAAATAAGAACCTTCATTGAAAACTTGGACTACAGACCAGGAGTGGAAGGAAAAGAGTCTGTGCACTGCAAGAAAGGCTGTTGGCACAGTACTTTTATCTCAAGCCTGACCAGAAAGAGAAATGTAATAAGAGTCTGTTGGTCCAGCACAGCCTTGCAGATTCAAAAAGAGCTGGGTAAAAATAGTTAAAAAAATTTTCATGGCAAAATTGCATTCAGCATTTATGTGTGGTGTTTTCCATTCTTTTCCAGTAATCCCTAGTGTTAAATTGTGAGGGTCTAAAGAGAGGAAGGACAGTCCACAGCTCATGGCCCTGGCCTAGTATATGGGAGCGCTGGGTCTGCCTCAGACTTCCTGTGTGATGGGCACATCACTTAGTTTCTCAGTTCCACATATATGCAATGAGGATAATGGTACTTCTCAACTTCCCCAGGGTGTTGTGGGGACAAATACATTAAAGAGAGTCAGGCACTCCAGTTCTGTTTTTTGGGGTGAAGGGGTCATAAAAATATTAAATATTTGTTCACACATCAACTCTCAAAATCCACTTCTAGCTCTGAAAAAGGGAGTTTTTGGAATTTTGCACATTTGAAACGTTGCACACACTTACCATAGTAATCCTGGTCTGTGGAGTGAAGACGGGGGTGACACAGCAACTTGTAAACATTCACGCAGGCATTTCTAATATATTCCCATATATACATACATACACTAAGTGAGGTAGGGTCCTCCAGTACTTTGTCATGGTAACTGAGAGCAGCCCTATTGTGATGGAAGATCACTCATCTGTCTGTTGAGTGATGAAAGTGATTTTGGAGCTACTTTTATGCAGCCAGCACTGGCAGATCAGGAGTTCTGGCATCAGCAGTGGACACAGGTCCTTTGTGTGACTGTGTTACCAGCTGGCAATACAGGTGGTCAGGGCAAGGGGGTAGAAACATTTAATTTACACCCCTCCCATGTTGCATCACCATCAGTGGGATCCTCTTCAGGCCCTACTGTCGATACAGTAGTTCCTTCTCCTGTTGTTCATGGGGATGCATTAGACTCTCAGAAAGGGATCCAGTTGAATAGTTATGTGACTATTCTGGAATAGTCACATAACTGGAATAAAACTGGCATTTTCAGCAGCTGCCATGAGGGAAACAAATTTGAGACAGAAGACACAGTGGCTATTCTTGGTTATTCCTATGATAGTTAACCCAGCCTCTTCTCCCCGATCTATCCAAAGCTGTATGGATTTTACCTGCACACTATGATTAGAGCATCAACACTTTTTTTAAAAAGGAAAAAAACCTGAATTAACATAGCCAAAGTACTTACAAAAGCAAGGGAAGTGGAGCAAAAGCCAACAGCAAAATGCAAAGGCACCTCACTGAAGGTGATAGGGCAGAACTGCAATGGTCGCTGGGAGTCAGAGCTATAAAAGCCCAGCAGACCAGCAACTAACGGCAATTAAGGAAAGGTCTTTGAAGGGAAAGGAGACAGCTAGCATGCTGAAAATCCCGCTTAAGGGGGAAGACCTGAGAACAAGACTTTCTTCATTTCAGAGCTGAACTGTGTCCTGTGCAAAGCTGGGTAATTTTGTTGCTGTTGTAAGTTTAGAATTTTATTTTGTTGTAAGTCTGTATTTTTCATTTCTTTGTTGTAGCTACTACTTAGCTGCCATTTCATGAGACCTGCATTTGTGAACCAGAGCTTATTTCCCTAGAGGCACACTCCACCCCCTCCCAAGTTCACAGTAACATGTTTTGTAATCATTAGTTGTGGGGGGTGATGTTTTTTATTATTTATCTTATTGTTAAGGAATGGTGTCTTTAGTAAACAAAATCCCAGTCCTGATCAGCACAAACCCCCAGACTGCAGAATCGGACCTTTTAGTCTGTTGGCATTAAGGGGTGCACCAGTGTTGTAGTCAATTTTTTTAACTAATTGTCAGCTATGAATAATCTTCCTAGTTGTTAGTAGCACTTGGATTCGCTCAATAGGCCCTGTGACTTTTACTGGTGCAAAAGCTAACAATCTTTCTGTAAAGTCGTTATAGCTTTTCATAAACTGAGTTAGATAAAAATTGTTGTCTCTACATGTCATAGAGCCTACCATTACCTGCTACCTCTGGTTTGGCCTGCTACCCTGCCTGCACCCTGTCCTCCTCTAAGTTTCTTAAGACTCACTTCTGTGAAGCCCAGAGATCCTAGTGTTCCCTTTCAAAGGCATTTTATTGCTCACAATCAATTTAAAACAATTATTGGTACCTCTGTAATGGATGCATTACCAACCAAAGCAAATCGATTCTCTTACTGGTGATTCTCTTGTCCTCTCGAACCTCTCGCCATCTGCTTATAATGATCACACATCAGTTTGCCTCTTGGTGTCTTCTGCAAGCTCTTCAGTGCAGGCACATCATCCCATATCCTGTCCTGTAAATTCACTGTGACATCAGCTCTCAACTGGGATTCAAATGCCTTTAATTCACCTCTAAGCCCTGAAAGTCACCCTTTAGCTGCGTAGCCCTTAACTAACGTCACATCCTTTGATTATGATTTATAGAGGGAGTCAAGCAGCCTTCTCATGTAGTGTGAATCTCAAATCTCCACCATCACCTTCCTGGCCTACTAATAGACTTTAATTAATCTGTCAAGCACCAGCAAGTGTATGTCATTATATAAATAATACAACCTCATTCTTTCTGTTTCCTTAATCTTCAAACTTTGTATTGTTTTGCTTATAAACCTGTGTA